CATATAACGGTAATTTTCAGAAATACGAAAACTGCGATATTTTAGTAACTACTGAAGATTATTCACTCAAAATTGGTATTTGCAATAAGTTTTAGACGAAAAATGAGAATATTATAAATTTTTGGAAAATGGGCGTAGCCACGCTCACTTATGGTTACATGTGTATATCTTGGTAACCGCTGCACCAATATCTTCCAAGCTTGGCACAGTTGTTGACCTTGGTATAACATACAAAATGGCCGAAAATTTTTAAAATCGGACAGTAACCACGCCCACATCCCCATATAACGGTAATTTAGAGACATACGAAATCTTCGATAAATCAGTAAATATTGAAGCTAATTTATGATGCTTGCAACAAGTCTTTACCAAGAAATACGTTTATGATAAAATTTTGGAAAATGGGCGTGGCACCGCCCACTTATGATCACATATATGTATCTCGGTAACCGGTTTACCAATTTGTACCAAACTCGGTGTGGTTATTATGCTTGCCACGTAGAAGCAGAACTTTGAATATTATTGAAATTGGACTAAAATTACGGCCGCTTTTCATATAATAGTAAATTTCAGAAATGCTTGAATCTTCAATATTTCGAAATTTAAGGACGCTAATTTACTCAAAATTGATACACCCCGGCTCACCATGTAGCGGTAGCTTTCGGAAAGGTGAAGAACATATATATATAGGGGATTCACAAGACGTGTTAACCGTCGTAAAATCTTAAGGTTAACATCTTTTTTAATTAAAATGGTTTTAGGGGATTTCTAACTAAACCGAAATTCTTTTAAACTGATAAAGAATATATAATTAGCCAACCCCCCAACCATTTTAACCGCTATTTTACATAAACAAGTGTTAAGCTTAAGATTTTACGACGGTTAACACGTCTTGTGAATCCCCTAATAATATTTGCGCCGGGTATTTAATGCTCGGCTCCGCCCGAACTTAGACTTTCTTACTTGTTTTTTTTTTTTGTTTAGTTATGACATTATTGAAGTAAATTAGCGATATGAGGTCTCATAACATTTAAATTCGGTACAATTTACTTTTTTCATCATGGTATACTTTTACATAGTTGGTTACGTGAATATTTTACGGCATTTGTATTACTTTGTTTTGAGATTTTTTATACCACTTTTTAGTACCTAGGTCATTTTTATTAAACAGAATTATGGAAGACACGATTTTGTGCATTTTTGAGTTTAAATTAGATTTGACTTTTTGATGCCACTAATAAAGTCAAGTTGGCATACATATTTAAATTATAATATCGTCAGTTTGCATTAGCACATCAAAACACGCAGTGAGCGAAATCGTTCTACAAAAAATAATATTGCTTATATTAACACTTTTGCAAATTAATCATAAACAGCGTAAACCTCGTAAATTTGCTTAATTTTGTATGAAAACCTGGTTTATTTACGAGGTTTACATAGTTACGAGTTAGTTTACCGGGTGCAATTTCTTTTGCATCTATGAATTTCTGTGTCTTCTTTGTACGGAAAACAATCTCTTCATCTTTTTCATACATGTTTTAAATCGTAAGGAATGTTCATTGGATGGTGTGAGCTCCTGTACTAATTTCTTCTGCTCATAACGGTTAGAAACGCATCCTTGAAAAGTTTTTCGCTACCTTTTGTTGGCTTTTCGCAAAAGGTATTTTGGATAACGTAAACTTCTTTGGTCGGTGTATGATTATTGTTTGGCATGTACAGGAAGCCAGTAATGTTGTCACCAACGGCTGAACAGAAAATTAAGATGGATAAGAATAAACTCTAAAATACGCCTTCGTGCTTATTAGCTTACCTTCAAGATCATTTAGTAATTCGAATTCCTAATGATTAATTAAGAATTATTTGATTTGAATGAGGATATTCAAGTCGCATGCTTTATAAGCAAAATCATCAAACAACGACGCTCTAAAAGTTTTTCTTGACGCACCAGCACTCATCCATGACCCTGCAATAAAAAAATACATCATTTTGAAATATTGTCATAAATTTGTAGTTATCACAGCTTACTTTCAGCGGATTTAACTACACACTATACAACGATCTAGTTTCTGTAAAAGCCACAATTTCC